TTGATATATAAGTTGTTCGGGTTTTTTCATCTAAAAAAAAGCGACATTAATTTCTTGACGACCTAATATTTATTAAATGAAAATACAATAACATTGGTCGTTCGTGAAGGTGACAAAGGCTGTATTAAAAGAGTAAATATTTTAATTACATAATAATTTAGAACTGTTCAGTTTGCTAGATTGTTAAATACGAAATTTGTTATTTGTGGATAAGGGGGGCAGCATATCTTTTGGTCCCTAATATTTGAAAGTTTTAGTGTTTTATATATATATATAGAGAGAATGAAATGTTAGTCACGTGGTGCCTCTCTAGTTATATGTATAACATAATGTATGTGATGCTTACTGAGTGTCAGGTACGTTGTGGCCAGAACGTGCGTGATCGTGCCACACCCGGTTAGTGTTTGACCCCCTAATGACAATCTTCCTACTTTCGTTTGGTCATTAATAACTTGAGGGAACACTCAGCTGCGATTAATTTAGATTAAAAAAACAATACATATCCCAGTTTTCACGGACAGTTTACAGACTTAGATGAAGGAAACTTTAAGGGTTATGATTGGGCAAGGTTAATCACGGTTCCACTTATAACAATATCGTGCTAATATTTTTTTCTTCCTAACACGTGAGTGTAGGTATACTTCAACTGAATGTGGGGCCTGGCATGGCCAGGTGGTTAAGGCGCTCGACTCGCAATCTGAGGGTCACGGGTTCGAATCCCTGTCACACCAAACATGCTCGCCCTTTCATCCATGGGAGCGTTATAATGTTACGGTCAATCCCACTATTCGTTGGTAAAAGAGTAGCCCAAGAGTTGGCGGTGGGTGGTGATGACTAGCTGCCTTCCCTCTAGTCTTACACTGCTAAATTAGGGACGGCTAGCGCAGATAGCCCTTGTGTAGCTTTGCGCGAAATTCAAAACAAACAAACTGAATGTGTAGGGTGACATCTGGGGGATTAGTCTATGAGGAAATAACTTTTCCTAATGAAAATATTTCGTGCCTAATAGTTTTTTTGTTTTTTTTCGTGCAGTGAAATTGATACAACTAAAATTAATAATCTTCACCGTTTACCCAGGATGTGTGTTAATAAAGTTCTGTTTTATCGTTTACCCATCGTTTAAAAATGGACATTTAAATTGATAATCACAAAGATTTCTTTGTGAAATGTTGTTCTTATGATAACAGTATTTAGAGTAATACTTACTTCCTGGGAAACATTTTTTTCTTCTTTTTTTACAGAATGTTTTTCTGAAAACCTAATTATTTACTTATCATTATACAAATATATTGATTAGTAGAGGCTTAACTACCTGAAGTGGGCACAGCACAGGTAGCTTGTTGTGTAACTTTGTACTTAATAACAAACATGAAAAAATACTTTATTGTTGCCCCTATCGGTGCAGGAGTAAGTCTGAAGGCTTATAATGCTAAAACATGGGTTTTTCGATATCCGTTGTGGGCACAGCACAGATGGCATATTGTGTTGTTTTGTGCTTAACTACAAACAAGCTCTTTATTATAGAAAAACTAAAAACCAGAGTAATCACATGGTCCAGTTAGGATGATAGCAATCAGGAGTTGTGTGTTAGCCCTAATAAATTAGGCTTAGTTCTTATATACCTTTTATTTTGCAACCTTCGTGACTCAACAATGAAATTCTGGGTTTGATCCCTGCAGTGGCTCTAACTCTACAGTGTCACGGTTTAACGAACAAACAAAAAGTTATTTTTGGGAAACAAACTGGTGTGTGTAGTTATGCTTTATTTATATAAATTTATACAAGTCTTTTATTTGATCACCTCTAGATTCTGAATCGTGCAAAACAAGAAAGATTGGAGAGTAGAAACGTTTTGGAACTGGTTGAAGAACTAAGTAGATAAACATGAATTTACTGGAAGGTGAAACACAAAAACAAAGTGATACTAATCAAGATTGCCTGTCAATCAGCTCAGCATCGTGTTTAGGAAAAGTCAGCAGTAAAACAAAGACAGAATATAGTGAGCAACATGAAGACCTAAAAACATTAGATTGTTCTTTCAATTTGAAACCAGTGGAAAATGATAAAATGCATGAAATTTCTTGTCATCAATCTGCTGAATACATGATGAAGACTTGTTCCAGCATGAAGAAAAAGGACTTGACCGAATACCACTGTTTGGGTATCGAAGAAAATGACACTTCATTGGATCTTGGTGAAGCAAGAAGGAAAGTCACAAAGACAAAAGACATTTCAAAGAATGAAAAGCACAATAAAGAATGTAAAAATGATGATAATTTTCCGGAAAACAAATCGAGGTGTGACAAACTAATATTGCAATCTCGGAGAAACGATTTGCTAGAGAACGATGAGGTGTCTGTAGAAGGAACATTTGTAAAGAAAAAGAATGAAATATCCTCCTCCACAAAGGAAATATATTTCCAGGAAAATACAGAACCTACTGTAAATAATATTGAAAATTTGTTCATTCAGCCTAGTAGAGAAAGTCCAAAGTTACAACCTAGTTATGAAAATGAGAGGTCACATCTGAATCACACTTGCACCTTTTCCACAGAGAATATAAATCTCTTCAACATAAAAAACTGTTTCATGCTGGAGTAAGTACTGATGGTCAAAGTGTTCTGCTTAAGATAAACAACAGTAAGAAGGAGTGTACTAATAGCCTTGAAGACTCAGAAAAGTACTATAAGAGTCTCGATATGACTCGTATAGAGGGCAAAAGATATAATGCTACAAAACCTGTTACAAAATTCTTTAAAAAAGTTCAAAAATATAGAAAACCAAAAAAATCTTGCAATTTCTACATTTTCAGGTCTAGATACACACAATTTAACAAATGAAGAGGTAAACAAAAGTGCTGGATCTGAAGACAAGTCCTGTCCTTCAGGTCTAGATACACACAATTGAACAAATGAAGAGGTAAACAATAGTGCTGCATCTGAAGATAAGTCCTGTCCCTCAGAAGCTGCTCAAGTCAACTCATCTAAACATAAAAATAATGTAGAAGGCCCAAAAAGTTGTCAGAAACTGTTGGATAATGTAGACATGGACAAGCAGATCAGATCACCCATTTTTACATCAAACACAATGTCTAATAAGAAAGACATTTCAAAAGATCAAATCACAGAGCCTATGAAAGATGTAAATTCTGGAAACTTATCACAGTATCTAAGAGAAAGAATCTACCTCTGAGAAAGAAGAAATTTTAAAAGAACCAATGAGAGCATTTGAGAAGGATGGCAGTTTAAAAACCAGTCTTAGCATGTAAGAAAGATGACAGTTTAAAAGAACCTGTCTTAATGTCTAAGAAAGATGACATTTCAAATGAACTAGTCTTAATGTCTAAGAAAGGTGTCAGTTCAAAAGAACCAGTCTTAACATCTAAGAAAAATGACATTTCAAAAGAACAGATAACAATATCTAAGAAAGATGACATTTCAAAAGAACCAGTCTTAATGTCTAAGAAAGATGACAGTTTAAAAGAACCAGTCCTAATGTCTAAGAAAGATGACAGTTCAAAAGAACTAATGTCATTATCTGCAAAGGCTGAAAGTTCAAAGGAATATTTCACAATGTCTGAGAAAGATGACAGTTCAACAAAACTAACCATGAAATATAAGATGAATAACAGCTCAAAAGAACAGATGATATCTGAGAAGGATGACAGTTTAAGAGAACCAGTGGCAAAATCTAAGATGGATGACGTTTCCAATGAGCTTCTTACAAAGTCAAAGAAAGATGACTGTGCCAAAGAACCGGTCACAACATCTGAGGTGAATAGTACAAAAGATTCAATGAAAATGTCAAAAAACATTGACATATTACAAGAGCCAATCACAAGATCTAAAAAGGATGATATTTTGAAAGAGCCAATCACAATATCTAAAAATGATGACATATTACGAGAGCCAATCACAATGTCTAAAAAGGATGACATATTACAAGAGCCAATCACAATGTCTATAGTAAATGACAGCTCTAGAGAACCAAACACAACATCCCAAAAGGGTTACATTTCCAAAAAAACAAATACAATGTTTAAGAATAATGACAGTTTAAAAGAAGTTGGCATCTGTGTACCATCTTTAAATACAGTATTGATAAAGCCAGAATGTTCTAGAAAAGCTCTGCAGAATAAAAAAAAGGAAAACATGAAGACAGTGATATTGAAGATACTGAACTAAAACTAGAAGGAGAAAGAGTTCACTCATCCTTATCAAATGCTGATAACAAAGATGGTCATATAAGTGAGCCACATCAGTTATATTTGTTTTCATTCATCAATGACAAAATCATTTTAGGAGATTTAGGGACAGAAACATTAAATTATCCAGCAATTAACAAATATTCAAAGCTTAAGTCAACTTGCACTGCAAACAACAAAACCAATATGATGTCTAATAATGATGAAGAGTGCTGTAGTCAAAATTTTCCTTATTTATCAAGCATCAGTGTTGATGGAAATAAAGTCAAAGTGAAAGATGAGGATCAAACTTCCAAGAGTAACACTTCACAACAAGAAGAGGGAAGTAGCTTACATATTACAAATAAGAAACTGGTAACAGAGTGCATTGCTGAAGTAGTGCTAAACATTCCAAGTAATAGTTTCCAAACTAAAGAAGAAGAGAACTTGGTGGATACCAAAACTCAACTGCCTGAGCCTTTTGATACTATTTTAGCCAAGATTTCAGAAAACAAATTGGACAATGAATTATTTTGTGAACGTTTGTCATCAATTTCTGATGACCAAAATGATGATAAGCCATCTACGTGTGTCACTGAAAAGGATTCTGAGTTGAAAAATCTGATTAAATCTGGTTTTGCTATCTTGCCAACTTCTAGTGTGGGTGAGACGTTAGGAGAGATTGAATCAAAATGTAGTGAAATATTTGTGGGTACCTGACTTCATAAAACATCAAATTAAAAATAAGAGGGAACATTACAAGATTGTCAAGTCAGAAACTTGTATAAAGCCAAAGACTGACGTTGGTCTAGCACCCATAGAATTTAAATGTGCACAAACTAAAAGCAATAGGTGTGCTAAAAACATAAAAAATAAATCCTTAAATAAATCATGTGAGAAAGATCAGAGTTATGAGAAACCTGAACGTGTAAGTAAATCATGTGAGACTGCTGAAACAAAATCAGAAGAAAGCAAACAAACAAGAATGAAAACTGTACAACCACGTACAGAAAAATATGAAGAACTCAAATCAAAACCAACACTTAGATTTGTACCAACTAATACTTTAGATGAGAAGCGAGAACCAATTTTTGTAAAAGGCATAAAATTAATTAGTGAAGACTTCAAAGTGACTCAGACTGCTGCAGATAAGACTGATGTTATATCTATTGGAAGTGTAGAAGTACATAGGAAAAATAAAAGACGTTTGCAAAGGAAAGGAGCAAATTTCACAACTTTGTGAAAACGGGTGGAAAAGAGCAAAAACAGGACATCTACCAGAAATAACTGGCAGAGCAACAATGAGATTTTCAAATACGATTATATCTGAGAATTTTAATAAAGGACTGTATTACACTTCTTTAAAACGTGATACAAGTTTGTTAGAACGGGAAAACAAAACCACTTTAACTCTAGCTTCATTTAAGGTTTCGACCAGTGATAAAAGCAAAGGTGTGGAGTTGAATCTTCTTGAAACAGACAACTGAAAACATCTACCAATTCTGTCAGATTTTCTTAAGATATTTAATTAAATATAATTGTGCTACATTATTAATTTGTTAATAACCAAATTTTGTTTTTGAAAATATATTTATATGTGACTAATAAAAAAATATGAAATTATTTATGCATTGATCTCACAGTTTTGTACATAACTATTTTTTTTATTTCAAATTGCTTATAAATTCCTAAATATCTACATCTATTCTTACTTCCCTTTAGCAACATTTTTTTGTGGCAGTCGGTTTAGTTACTTATCGATATTTGCTCCTGGTTGATTTTAAGTGTGTTATTTTTCTAATTCATTTCATTATCCTATCTGTTGGTTTGAAGAAGAACATACATTACATGTGATGATTTAGAGAGCCAGAAAAAACAAATGATTATTATCATTCTGTAAATTCAGAAAGAAGCAGTGACCTGAACTAAGATAAACTTAAACATTTTGAAACGGTCAACATTTTGAAATTACTGTGATAAAATAAAAAAGAGAGAGATAGAGAAAGATACAAGTAATTTCTGCCAATTGTCTTGAAAAAACCGATAAATAAATCTGAATACTTCTAAGAACTCGTTGAATTTCTTGTGTAGCCTAAAACAAAAGCGTATAATAAAACATTCATTATTTTATGATTGAGATTTACTAAGACACGTACAAAAAAAGTGAATGTTTATGATATCTTTGGATTTTTTTTTTATTTATGACATAATGATAGTTTACTTTATATTTTAGATGGACCTGCTAATGGAGAGACACCAAAATCTTCAAAGGTAAGTAAATTCACGTTTTACCCTTCCATTTTCTAATGAGCTTTATACTTGAACTTGCATAGTTGCAATTACTGTAGAGTTTCTGAAATGTACGAAGCAACATTTCTAATTCCAGAAATAGTACAGGTAGCTTAAACATAGAAACATATAGAAATTTGCAGAACGATGAGAACAGGAAGACATAAGAATGATAATATGCTAGCATTAATATAAAGTTATAAATCAAATTTAGCCAAGTTTAGCAAGGTATATGATTATATAGAAGTATCCAAGTGTAGCAATGTATATGATCATATAGAAGTATCCAAGTGTAGCAAGGTATGTGATCATATAGAAGTATCCAAGTGTAGCAAGGTATATGATTATATAGAAGTATCCAAGTGTAGCAATGTATATGATCATATAGAAGTATCCAAGTGTAGCAATGTATATGATCATATAGAAGTATCCAAGTGTAGCAATATGTTAGAGGTATATCACTTGATGAGACAAATTATGTGAAGTTACAACACCAAATGAGACATGGTTATACAAAATTATAACACCAGATGAGACACATGATGAAGTAGTTATAACACCAGATGAGACAGATGATTATGTTGTTATAACACCAGATGAGACACATGATGAAGTAGTTATAACACCAGATGAGACAGATGATTATGTTGTTATAACACCGGATGAGACACATGATTATGTTGTTGATATGATTGTTTTATTTCCATGTGAAATAAAAATTATGTTTGTAACTTAAGAGTTATTTGTGAAGTGAATTAAAGAAATGTCTGTATTAGATAGCGAAGTAAATATTATGTAGATTACTTAACCTTCTAATGTGAAGTCATTAAAAAATGTCCCCTCTTAGTTTACACCGTTCATTTTCAAGTGGCATAAAACATAATTTAACTATTTATTTAACATTTATTTAGTTACCTTTACTCGTATTTAATGCTAATTAAGTTTACGTATGTTTGACTTTCCTGAAGCTTGTTCTTTGTAGATACAGAATATTTACACTTTGATTTTAGATTTCTACCTCAACACCAAAGAAACCTCTTTCTTCTCCGCGAAAGCCCCCAATAAAAAATGGAGTGACATCACCAACAAAGACAAGTGAGTGGAAAAGTTTAAATAATAATTTGTTGTAGCTTGTGAAGCTTGTAAATCTTTATTTTATACAAACACAGACACATAACTTACACTGATAACAGAGTCTCCTTTTCTACTCTACTGAAAATATTAAAACACAAAATGTATTCCTCTTAATTATTCAAATTGATAATTTATATCAGGACGTAATTTTAAGCCACATGAAATGATAAAATTGATAATCAGGTGGATAGTGTTCCTGTAAATGTAACCTTCCGTAATACTCGTAGAGACAGCACAATTAAGAAAAATAATATTAAAAATACAGTTTCCAGACAGCCTTTTAAAGATAATTCAATGATATTTTTTAATTTAATGATTGTGAGCTTCAGGGGCATATTAAGGTTTACTTGGCACTCTAGGCTCTCAGTTTTAGATTTGACCCTTCTTTCTCGATTGACCCACGGACAACTTATCCATCGACACGATAACAACAGTAAATTAAAATGCAATGAAATGGACGGAAATTTGTTTTTGTTATAAGAAAATTTCAAAATGAAGTTTATTTTGAAATTTAAAAAGAAAAAGATTTTTCCCTGAGATGCACCCCTCAAATTGTTGGGCTTTAGGACCAAGCCTTGGAAACCTATTACTTGTTATGCCCCTGATAAGCTTTAGACTTCATTGTAAGAAAAATGCTATACTCTTGTATTCACTCTGAAGTCATAAACTTTTATGTAAAGTTTTGTTGCACAGAAAAGGAACTTCTCTAACTTGATGAAGTGTTTTGTTAATCATTTTTGCATGTTTCATTTCTTGATGAAGTGTTTTGTTAATCATTGTTGCGTGTTTCATTTCTTGATGAAGTGTTTTGCTAATCATTATTGCATGTTTCATTTCTCAATGAAATGTTTTGTTAATCATTGTTGCATGTTTCATTTCTTGATGAAGTGTTTTGTTAATCATTGTTGCATGTTTCATTTCTTGATGAAATGTTTTGTTAATCATTGCTGCATGTTTCATTTCTTGATGAAGTGTTATGTTAATCATTGCTGCATGTTTGGTTTCTTGATGAAGTGTTTTGTTAATCATTGTTGCATGTTTCATTTCTCGATGAAGTGTTTTGTTAATCATTGCTG